ACATATATATGTGATTATGAAAATGCTTCATGAGGTGGCAAAAGAATATTCTTTACAGTTGTATGGTCAGTCATGACTAACTAATATTATTTCTTACTTTGTTTTTATGAATTTTCTTAAGTAAATGACAAGTGATAGGTTCAAGTTTATCCCCATTCCACAAGGCCCCCTACCTTTTCTCCTCTGTATATCCCCATTCCACAAGGCCCCCTACCTTTTCTCCTCTGTATATCCCCCTTCCACAAGGCCCCCTACCTTTTCTCCTCTGTATATCCCCCTTCCACAAGGCCCCCTACTTTATCTCCTCTGTATATCCCCCTTCCACAAGGCCCCTACCTTTTCTCCTCTGTATATCCCCCTTCCACAAGGCCCCCTACTTTTTCTCCTCTGTAATGATTGGCAGTATTGGGGAAATAATAGAAATACTCTCTATTTGGTAATTCCCAATTTTCAATATGCAAAGTTTTATTCTCATCTTTTGGATATTATGCACAAAAATATTTATTCCAGTGATATATTTGTCTGCATTTGAACCTGAAGACTTAGAGAATAGATTGTTTTACAAAACTGGATAAAATATTCTTAGAATCATAGTGTGAAATATTAACTTGTTGTAAGACTTTCAAATGATGGATTCGACATACAAGAGATTGGAACTTTCAGAAAATATCAGTGGTCAATAGATACTGTAGTCCCAGGAGTTTTAGCTTCATCCTTGTTGAATAGATATTGTTCACACTGCAAGTTTGTGGTTAGCATCCATATTCCAATTTTATAGTATTTCTTTATTGATTTTTGTTGTCAGTTTGAAGAAGACAGGATTACTTACCGCCTTCATTTGATTAGAAGTATTTTAAACCATATCAATAAATTGGCTGTGATGAACTAAGAGAGATAACTCAAATTAAAAGTAGGGAAACTGTTATTGAAACATTTGAATGTAATAATGAAGTAACCAAAACATTCAAGCTAGTTATAGAGACCAGGATAAATAATCCTTTCATTCACTAGTCTCAAAATAGAACGTTTCAGTTGTTATTTGGGATAAGTGAATAAATATTATTGTATTAGGTCTTAGTGACAAAGTTAAAAGTTAAAAAGCCTTTTTAAATATACATATATTGGATCAGTAAATTTTGAAGAATGGTATTTGACCTTGTAGAGTTTGTTTTGCCAAATAAATAAGCGGAAGTTGTTGGTGGGGAAATTGCCATCACTTTTATCACTAGTTTACAAATGACTGAAGAAAGTGATGAAATTATTTTACCATTTGCTTGAATTTTTCAGGAACGGTTATAAGCTGACTGATGATTGGCAGAAATTAATCGGTATATCTCATCTCTGTAGCTAGAGAAATTAGACCTTAGCCAATCGTCTAGCACACCGCTAGCTTTACGTTTAGTGTCTGGTCCTTGCTTCCTTGGCAGCCATGTTTGAGGAAGCTTGGACCCTAATGTTCAGTAATGGTTCATGAGCAGTATATACTTAGCATATGTAGGAAACTCTTTGTTCATTTTTATTTTTGGCAGACTTTTACTATTTGTAGAGTTAAATCTGTCAAAAACTATGCATAGAATTAAATCTGGTGGACGGAACTCGATGCACAAAACATAAAATTCCAATTGACGATTTCTTAGTCAGTTTAGACAGTTTAGCCAAGTCTTTGTTAAAAAAGATTAATTTCAAAATTTTGTAACTGAAATTGTTGATTGGAAGTCACATTTTAAATGCATGATTATGTTTGAGTAACTATCACCACTTAATAGTAGAGAGAAAAGTACTTTTAGGAAATTATCTCCCCTTTTGACACTTCTTTAAATATCTTCTACACAAAATTGTAATATCGTAGACTTGTATAAGAATGTTCATACTATATTTAGATGTTGTCTTCATTTTGCATGACTGTATGTGGTAATTTGACCACCTTCACATTGGTTCCAGGATTTTTTTTCAAATGCATGCTGGGTAATATACAACCCATATGACAATGTAGGAATTGACTGTTAATTTTGGATGAGTATTGGGACCTTCTCTAGTAAGGCTCAGAGCAGAAGGCCCAATGTCTGTTTGCAACAAATGAATCTGTAAAGAATAACATTTATGGGAAGAGAATTTATAGAAAGATAAAATTAGACTGGCAAATTGGTACAACTTTTAATTTGATTGATTGGTGTTTAACGCCACTTTCAACACTATTGTGCTATTTCGTGGAGGAAACTGGAGTGCCTGGAGAGAACCACCAACCTTTGTAGGAAAACTGACAATCCTAGTCAATTAAGATTAGAGTCAAGTGCACCTGCCACGTGCGGGATTCGAACTCACAACCTCAATGTTGACTCAACTGACTAGTGACACAGTAGTTCGACTACTTAGACACTTGGCCACGGAGGCCCCTCATTACTTTTAAGGTCCCTATCAGAAAATGGTACGAAGATACCAACCAATCAAGACCTCACCAAAAAACCGTATGTCAACTTTTTTTTTACATTGGAAGGATGAGACTCCTATTTAAAAGACAATTTCACATTATAAAAGTCTTAAATCAGTAATTATTTCTTTGTATTCACAAGCTTGCCATGCAGGTGCTAACTTAAACTTAATTTATTCACAACTTTATCAGATTTGGAAGGAATTGGAGCTGTCCATATATTATATAGAATACTGTAGAAGACCTTGTTGCCCTCTAGATATCTTTGGATTATTTGTGTCACTGGGTTTATCTTGTTATATTATTTTTTGCAACTTTTATTTGGTAATTCAATGTATACAACAAGTCCTCTACTGGTTGTAGAAATGGAGTTTTGACTGACATCCATAATTAACAGTTATAATTTGCAGGTTGTAAAATGAACCTGATTATATTTAAACCTGATTTTTTATATTGGATATCCTCATTTCAGATTAGATATTAAATATAGATTTGTTATCAATCTTATAGATTTACTTTTAATCCAGTTCTTTCTGTCAACTAAATGAATCTTATGAATAATAGTTTTGCTACTTGTATTTTCTGCATTATACATTTACTTCAAAAAAAATTCTTATTCCGACTAATTAATACTGCATTTAAGAATTTATGATTTAATATTTTGAGTAAAAAGGAAAAAAAAAAAAGAAGAAATGTCCCTTCAGTTTATGTTTTTAGGTCTTTCCCCTCGAATGTTTTTATATTCTATATATGTAAGGTGTTATTCATATGATATATAATGAAAAATAATTGGTCTAGTTATAAATTCTTGGATACTGTTGATCTTTTACAACAAGTACAGTATGTAGGCTAGTACTCTTTCTTTCCAAGTTTGTTTACGGAAAAAAAACCAAGAGAATTAGAAAGTGAAAAATTTATGATCTTAGATTAATAGTCTTTGGTAGTTGAATAGCCACTTGTCAAATTAAAAGTAGCACTTCATATATAAGTATAGACCAATAAACTAGTCGAAAGGCTTTTACGATCTACTCAAAAATTTATGACACTTCTTTTTTATTACGTCATTTTTCAAACAAGTGTAATTTAGTCCTGAATTGGTTGATTTTAGTTGCTTTTGAAATTAATGAAGTAGGGTGGAAAATTATTCTATGTAATTATATAGTAATTTGGAGTTGCAGAATATGGTGGTATTTATGGAGAACAAGATTACGATATTTGCACATTTCTATGGCAAGTTGATGTGAAGATTCTTGTGAAAATTCACACATAGTTAACATATAGTCTTGTTTCTTGATCCATCTAGCCAAGATCTGTCCAGACTTGTTTTTATAGCCACATCAATAACTTTTGTTTGCTAGTTTACTGTTATTATTTATGGATTTTTCTTGAATAAATAATGAAACCAAAGAATAAAGACTTGAAAGAAATTCAAAAATAATGGAGGGATTGAACTTCTTGTTTTCTTAATCTCGTTCAAATATTTACAAGTTTGGAAGACTTTTCTAAGCTTCTTTTGTTGTTTGAAGTCCGTAGTTATGATAAAAGTTAAAATACCGTTTTTGAAACTGGTTTTTGACTTTCCAATGTCGGTTGATACTTAGTCAATATCCCTTTGTTATGAAAGTTATGAAAATTCAAAAACGAAATAAAAGATATTTATTTTATTGTTATTCGGGTGAAAGAAAGTTTAAATGTTATTTTATCTATTTTCTTTTACAAACTATGCTCTGTTAAATGAAAGTACACCCAATAGTTATTTCATTTAAGATGAGAAAGTTAATAGTTAATATATTGCCTTTGTTCTCGCTGCTACAATTAATAAAAAAAATGACAAACTTTTGAAAATTTGAATGGAATAGAATGTTCTAGAAGTAACAGTTAATGAAATATGCAAGAAAGGGAAATATCCATCAAAAATTTGTTAAAATATTTTTTTTAATTTGAATCCTGCATTTATTCCGATGATTTTCGGTTGTCAAATTGTGTGTACAAGTTGTTATGCATTCATGATTATTAGCAGAATATTTGTTTTTAAGTATTTTATGGAGATTTTTAAAAAAATGCAAATTTATTGAAGTTGATACTAAATAAAATGAAAAACTGATGAATTGATTATTCTGTAAGGAAAAAGAATTTGGAGGTTTATATGGTAAAAGAGTGTTGTTGGGTTTATGAATTATTGACCTTTGCCCTTAAGTCTCCTTATACAGACCTATAAAGCTTGTGTACAATTTATGTTGTCTGACTAAATTTTCTTAGAATTATCATAGGTAATCATATTTTTGCTGATGAAGTAAAACTTGATTATAAATTAAAATAAAATGGTTTATTAAAGTCTTTTTTCTTTTCCTGTTTTAAAAATCTTTCAAATCTTGAAATAGAAGGTACTACTGTATGCATGATTGTTTTTTTTTCCATGCATTCTTTTGAGTACATTTTGTACAAGAGAAATGAAACAACAGCAGACCTTTCATGATATTTTAACATTTTATGCATAACATAGACAGCTTTATGAATATTAATAATATTATTTATCAATAATTATTAACCTCTAAATTTTCTTTCATTACAGGGTTTGGTTTTGTCACATTTGAAGATGAAGATGTCGTTGATAAAGTCTGTGAAATTCACTTTCATGAAATTAACAAGAAAATGGTAAGTACTGGATTAAAATTGAGCCCAAAAATATGACCACAGAAAGTCACAAATATTGTGCGAATTACTTACAGACAAGAAAACTACACAATGAATAAGGGGCAGGAAAACCTATTGCAATATTTACACAAAATCGCAGAAATCAGTACTGTCCCCAGTTATCTAGATTTTATGCGAAAAGAAAAGTTAACAAAACCCACTTTCCAATGGCAAACGGTTTATGTCATTAAGAAGCAGTACCAAGTACTTTTACCCTTCTACGCTACCGATAAGTACCGCTTGAATTGAGAAAATCTTAAATAAACTACTGATAGAATCAATTGAAAGAACAGCCTGCAAATAGGAAAAGTACCTGTTTAAATCAAAGATAATGTCCCCTGCATTGGACAGTCACCTCACAATGTCCCCTGCATTGGGACAGCCACCTCACAATGTCCCCTGCATTGGACAGTCACCTCACAATGTCCCCTGCACTGGACAGTCACCTCACAATGTCCCCTGCATTGGACAGTCACCTCACAATGTCCCCTGCATTGGACAGCCACCTCACAATGTCCCCTGCATTGGACAGTCACCTCACAATGTCCCCTGCATTGGGACAGTCACCTCACAATGTCCCCTGAATTGGACAGTCACCTCACAATGTCCCCTGCATTGGGACAGTCACCTCACAATGTCCCCTGCATTGGACAGTCACCTCACAATGTCCCCTGCATTGGACAGTCACCTCACAATGTCCCCTGTATTGGACAGTCACCTCACAACTAAAAACATTTGTACAGAGACCTCAAAATCAGAACTATGAAATCTTGTTTTTGATTATATATGCTTGGTGAGGTATATTTTGTCTAATATTTTTTGTGCATTTCAATATCTTTGTTTGAGTAAATATTGATTGATTGTTGGTTGCTTAACATCCAGTGGCAAATACTATCATGCATGTTCATGACAAGTTTTTAGTAAAGTTTTTAACTCAAGTGATAAACAAAAGCAAAGATATATTGCTTTTATTGTTGTTCTTCATCTCAGACTTGCAGTGTGGGCTTCAACATGGACCTAACGCTTGCACCTCACTCCATGTTCGAGACAGCTCCTAGCTCCTGCTTGGGTGGAATTCTCTGCTACCAGATCTCTGCATTGGAATATATATTTTAGTACAATTGTTTATATTTTGGTTTGTAAAAAATTTCACTTGAAATGTTGAGTCTGTTTACGATAAGAACTGTTTAAGTAGAAAGTTTCTTTTTTTGCAGGTCGAATGCAAAAAAGCACAGCCAAAAGAAGTCATGGTCCCAACCAACTTAGCAGCCCGAGGGCGGGGCATAGCTCGTGGTATGTTCTATATTCAACAGTCAATCACAAATTTTGATTGGTTGTTGCGTAGTGTTTATAACTCTTGTCAAAATGCGAGTGGCAAATTTGTAGGATGCAGTCATTTAAAAGATGTTTTTGTCCTTTTGACTTTTATTGAATTAAAAAGATGGCAGATGAAATATTTACTGTCAAAAGTTGAAAAAAAGAATGCATTCTGAAATTTGCCACTCATAAGTAGAGATATATTATTTTTGTCTTTCCTACAAATTTTTTCCATAGCACTTTGCCCTCAACTTTTTGGGGAAGGTTGTTTTCCCAATGGCAACCTTTCAGTCTAGCATGAGAGATTGGCAAGTATTGTTTGATGTTCATTATCATATTACACATCTTCAAACACAAAAATTATGAATTATGAAAAAAAAAAATTGTGTTAAAAATTAAGAAATTATCCTGATTGTTTAAAAACAAAACAATAGAAAATGGAAATAAAAAACTGCATGATTAGCGGTGATGGTAAATTTTAGAAATTGGTAATATAGGCATAAAGTGTTTTATATACAAGGGAGGCAACTTGTTGATAGGCAGGGAATGAGAATGATATGTACTGGTACCCTACACAATTATGTGCTGCCACCCTGCTTCTCCATTGTGACACTACTTTCAAACCACCATTTCAGAATATGGAATTCTGGGAAATATATACATTCATTCTTTAGTGTAAATGAAATTAAAATTAGAAGAATTGTGAAAATGGGCTAATTTAAACTAACTGATAAATTAACATGACCAACTATTGAAATCCTTTATTGTGGTTACTAAGGTCATGCCATCATGAAAATATTCTTTTGAATATTTGCCTGCAAACATCTTAGATGTATTTCAATCTCATGAAATTTCGATTGTTGAAATTTATAAAAAGGGAATACATAAACTCACATTTCAAGTGAAGAGTGAATATTTTCTTTGAGTTACAAGATTCTGAGATTGTTGAGTAGCTGGTGGTTATATATTTAGTAGTAATTATTCATGTGTAAACAGGAACTCTTGTGTGATGTATTATATATTTATGTACTCAGTAACAATATTTTAATTAATAAACAATTTAGTTCCACTTTGATCAAAATATTTCTCAATAATTCTACTGATTTGGTGTGAGGTATTCACTTAGTATATTTTACAATTACTAAAACAGTTTTAAGTAGTTACATATACAAGCTTAATGAATTAACAAGCTTATTTATTATTTTTTTAACTAGCTTAAAAAACATTAAAACTGTTAGGGCGGATATATTTAAAATATGTTATTGGGTACATAAAAGAACATTCTGTCAATGCCAGATCTTAAAAAAAACAAATAGAAACTTTTAATTGAGAAAAAAACAATTGATAAATGGAAAGATTTTTCAGATCATGTAATGGATTGTTTCCCTTTTAATAATGATTACTTCCCTTGAATTAATGTAGTTTGTCTATCAAGAAATGTTAAGGTTAAGTTTGGGGTGGTAGTTTTTGAAAGAGCTGTTTAATGAAGCCATAAACATTGAACCTACATACCATTTTACAGTAGAAAAAAAAAATTTAAGGGAAGTTATCCTTATGAAAAGGGGAGACAATTCAGTTTTTAAATGAAAAACAAGTTGTTTGTAGACGTAGATCTGTCATTCATGAAACAACCAGTTTATTTCCGTGGAGTATATGTTAGAGTATTGTTTATATAAGTAATTTATGTGAGTGCACAGTATATTTTGAAAGTGTCTCAGTGGAATCCATCATCAGTAAAAAAAAATTGGTCTGTTTGGGATATTTTTGGCTTAGGTTTTTATTTGTTGTATATAATATGCACTAGTAGAATTAAAATCACTGACATAGATATTTTTTGTTAGTTGTAATTTTTTCAAAATTTGAAATTACAGTGTAGAAAAAGCTGTTTACAGAATGAGAAAAAAAATGTCTAAAAGGCTTTTACATTTAAATATGAATGAAAAAGATCTGAACATAAATAAAACTTTGAAAGGAGATAAATTTGTTCTGAAACTGAAATTTTGTTATGAAGCATCACCAGAATTATCCTTGCTTATGCAACTATTTCTTGTGAGAAAAATTAGTATAACATTTAAATTTGAAATTTGTGATATATTTTTTGAAATATTCTGTAAACAGCTGAAGTTTTATTATTATGAACACTTAAATTCTATGGAAATTAACACTGAGGCTCTTTCTGATACAGATATATGCAGATGACCTGCTACAAAATTGACACATGATATAAAGAATTACAAATATCTGCTGCCATTTCCATTGCAAAAAATATTCCAATTCACAAAAGGGGGAAAGTTGTAAGTTGACTGTATTAACACAAAGATGATCGAGTTGGGAAAGAAAAACTATACAAAGTTTTTCCAGTCTTTGTGTTATAAATGTCAACTTACAATTTCAATGAACAACTTGGATATTAAAATCTTTGAATATTTTTCTTTAAATATCAGTCATTTGCAGATAACTGTATTTGTGTGTGTGTGCTTTAATTTCTGGCGCCACTAAACTTATCTCCCTTTTTCTAATCCTTTCGTAGTGACAGAAGATGGCGAAATTGTTTGGGAAATACCAAGCGACATGATCGTGCCAGAGATGTGTAAGTCTTTTCCCAGGTCACGTGACTCCCATGTGACTTCCTTACAGATTTTTATGAGTGCAGTTTTTAACCCAATTTTTTGTGCTGGTTCGATTCTAACCAGCATGTACTTGATCCTGATTGGAAAACAAATCTCTTGCAGTTTTCTTCTAATCAGTTTGTAATGGATTTGATTGTTCAAAGTTTTTTTTTAAATTTCTTTTTCTAAAAAAAATACTTATCTTTTTGAAAACTGTGATATATTTCAATTCACGCCATCTGCTCTTAAGCTTTTCCTATCGCTGTTTGAACTTAGAGGTTTTGCATGCTTAAATGGTTCCGTAACTAGAACTAGAGGAACGTAGCTGTTTTATACTTTATTTACTTTGAATTAGGAAGTGTTTGCATGTTCTGCACACAAATTATCAGAGGTGTTGTACATAATTTTCCAGGAAATAATTAATATTGCTGCTTAATTAAATTATGATATAAAATCACATGAAACTTGGTTCAACTTCTTTTCTGATTTATATATTTTTTTTTCAATGCAATAGCATGCTTTTCTAAGAAACAGCATGTTGTTTGCTTAATCATTTATGAAATTTAATGTTTCCCATATTAAGATTTTCAGTGCATGTTACGAATAATTACAATTTATCTCTCCTTTTCGGTTAAAATAATATTTTTGTAATAATAATGCATGTATCCAGAATTTCAAAAAAATTTCAAACTCTGTTTTTATGCTAAAATCACTGCTGTCTTTAAGATAATGGCATCCTGCTTTTGACATACAGTTTTTTCCATATTTTATAAATTTGATTACTTTAATACATTTCATTAATTTTCTATTTTAATCATAACTTTTAGAATTTATTCATGCTATACTTCAAGAAAAATAAACTTTTTACTAGATTTCACATAACTGTAAATATAAATGAAAATTCAATTACTGCTCTGTAGCTTTACTTGAAATTTGTCAATTCCGATTTCATTTGAAAAATAAATATATTTTTTTTATGATTTAAGCAAAGTTGATGTAAGTTTCTTTTCATTGCTGGAATAAAATCTTCGAATATTGGAATTAGCAGAATGTCAATGAAGCTACAACATTGCATTTTGGGAATTGTATCATGGTAACCAAGACAACTAAAGCTGGAATACCATTCTTTATTCACAGGTTTGCTACCTGGAACCATCCCTGCAATGTACTCTCCATATGGGCGTGGCTTCCCGACGCTGGCTCCTGCCGGATATTACTATCCACCAGGTATGGAAATCTTAGAATTAGGGCAGTGGTATCCATTCTAAATCCATCAGTTGTTTTCAGTGAGACCAGAGAAGTTCCAAAGAACTATGAACAAGACTGTTAAATTGTTTTTGACTGTATGGGTGATTCAGAATTTGAACTGTTTGAAGGAATGAATGAAGAATGAAAACAAAAAGAAACATTTCACATATTTGTACTTTGAACAGCATTTTTGGACATGAACATGTCTCATTTTATGTTTTATGATGAACTCCCTTTAATGAACTATTTTTCAAAAGGTTGTAATTTATGCCAGTTTCTGAGTATGCAGTTTTCCTATATAACAATTTGTTAATCTTGCCACATATGTCATTTTGACGTCAATTGCTTCATCATGTTCACAAGAAAAGGGACATCACCGTTTTAAGAAGTAGCAAATCTTGTCCTTATACATTTTGTACCAGCATTTTCATGGAGATAACTTTGTTGCAATATTATTGAAAGTCACTAATGTATCTGAATAAGTTGTGGATTACATACATTCATACATACATACATACATACATACACAGGTATTATATGTAAAAAATAGAAATGCGATAAAAAAAGGACGATGGCATGCAGTCCTTAAACTTCTAAAATAGGAAACAAAAGGAGAAAATTGTGGGCTTATGTCAATGAGAAATCAACACAATTGTGCCGAAAAAAAAAACCTAGGCATTTGGAAGTCAATATAGAGTCTTCAACAAAAGACAATTAGTCTACATTTCATCCAAAGGAAACCCAATTTAAAAGGAAATAAGGGGTGCCAGAGCACTCAGATTTTAAATTTTTTACATTTACTGAAAACTCTTTTTACGTACATGCTGAAAAACATGTGAAGTATTCTAAACAGTACAGTACAGCACAGCGATATTTTGATGCAATATATAATGGCACTGTTACGTTTTATTTGATATAATATATAACAGCACTGTTATTTTATTTGATTTAATATATAACAGCACTGTTATTTTATTTGATTTAATATATAACAGCACTGTTATTTTATTTGATTTAATATATAACAGCACTGTTATTTTATTTTATTTAATATATAACAGCACTGTTATTTTATTTGATTTAATATATAACAGCACTGTTATATTTTTAATATGATTTATTATAACGAAACAGTTATTTGTTATATTTAATTTTATTTATATAACGACACAATTATATATTATATTTGATATGATATATAATTGCACAGTTATGGTATATTAAATATATAATAATATATGTGACGGCAATGTTGATTTTTACTTGGTATAGTGTATAAAATGTAAATATATATATGTACTGTTAATATTTATTTTATTGATTCAAAATATAGCCAAAAAGTAGATATTAACATATTTATGAATTATTATTTAATTAGCTTGAGTTTTTTTTATCCCTCCTTAAAGATATTACATGCATTAAACTTTAGTTAAAATGAATATATTTATTTTAATTTAATATATATTTATGAATAACTTAATGGTGCTTCAAAGCAATAATTAAGCCATATTTTGAATAATTTAATTTATTATTTATTTATGATTAAAAAAGTAAAGTTCAAAGCAATAAAAGAAATACTTAGAATACTAAGGTAATAATTGGAACAATTTTTGGAACATTTTGATATACATACATGACAATATCTACCTCACAGAACAAGTATAATTGATATGTGTTAACCAGCATTTAAAGTGCAAAAATTAAATAGACCTGCCATGCTATGTTGTCCTATTGCTTGAAATTATTAAGAGTAGAATTTTCTCTTGTGTTATGAAGGAAAGGAGAACAAATTTTGAATAAAAAAATAAAAATGAATTTACTTGAATTTTTATTTAAAACCAACAATGAATGAAATTGTAGAAATTGTCTCCTATAAACGGTTACTATTTGATGAAAAAGTTAACTTAATATTTCTAGCTTTTAAGATTTAACAACAATTTTACAGCTACATGAACTTGCAGCTGAAAATTTCAGCACTTTGTCATATAATGCTAGAGATCTCAACAAATTTCATTAAAAGTCCTTCAAATAAAGTAACAGTATAGTCAAGATTTTTGTAATTTCATTATAACATCTTAAACTGCAAAGGAGAAGCTAGCTCCCACTAATTAAAAAGATAGGGACGAATAAAAAAGTGTTAAGGATGTTCGCTACTCTGTTTCTAAATAACAAGCTTTTTAAAAGACTTGTTATAAATTGATAGTATATAAATAAAGAAACTAAAAAATCAGAAAAAAATTAAGGGTCCGTGTGCTTGTTTTTGAGATATAAGCCATTGAAAAATTGGCGGGAAATAATTCTCTCTAGACTTTTTATTCACTTAACATTGGCGCCTTTTTTCTTTCAAAAAGGAGGAAAAAATAACAAGGATTTTTTAAGATTTTCAAAGATGACATTTTAAACTATATGTAATCAAATTATGGAAAGAAAAGTAGGGGTTAGTGGGCAAAAATTTTTAATGGCGCAACATGGATTAAACCAGATGATTCCGAATATCTGGCAAAAATTCAAAAACAAGAGGAGCGAACATCCTTGATACATTATTTCAGAACATCATCTACAACATCTTGATATCGTTTTATTGTAATCTAAAATTTTCGTGACCGATTCTGAATATGGATCAGTGATACTACTGAAATAGGCAATATGCATTTACATATCGCAAGACCAATTCAGGATTCTCTAATATATAACTCCACATTAGGCAATAAGCATTGAGTTTTGTTGTCCAGTGCCTTTATTTCATGATTGACCATTTTCAGGACCGTTAAAAATTGATAAATATTTATGTGATAATTTTGTAAAACGTTCAGTATTAAATGACAGAGGGTACCATATCTTTATTATTTTGATTTATGTTTGTGTAAGGGGACCTTCTCAAAAGTATCAAGCTTTTTCCTTAATTGACTTTATTCGACCTTTTAACCTAATTTTAGGATTTGATGAATCAAATGCTGAAAGAATTTTTCAGAGTAAGCATTAAAAGTTGTAAACATTTGTGCCATTGTGTATTTTGATTCAACAACTATCAAGGTGTGCAACAGTGAGAATGGTTAAAACAGGAACTTAGGCCACCCTTAACAACTTCCTTGTTTGGTGTTGCCTACCCATGTCTTGTAGGGTTGTGTTGGTAGGTTGGGATTTTATTTTTTGGGGAGCCAACAACGTAAATTACATGTTTTAGACAGGAAAGCGATGCAAGAGCAGGAAAAAATCTTTGAAAAAAAAAAAGGAAACGATTTGTCTCATAACATTTTTCGGGTAGGCTGCTTTTTCATGTTTTTAGTAGGGTAGGTAGGCAACATCAGACAATTTAAATTTAATTTTTGGCCTTATTTTTTCACTAAAAAAAGAAAAAAGCTTGCTGAGTTTTTTAAACAAAAAGTTAGAACTAGTTTTGTTTAACCTCAAGGTAGATAATTCATTACAAAAATTAGAAGTGGTCTCCCTTTTTAGATTTGGAAACCATCATCAGAGGACAGAAATAAAAATCATACATATCAATGTTAAAACTTCATGAAAAACTTTTGAGATGTTCCCTGATGAATGTGATATTTTATTATTATATTTATTTATATAACAAAAGTACCAAGTTGTTTTAAACAAATGCATCATGATTGCAATAAATCATCAGTTAGGGAAAATCTGCAATACTTTTTCTTTTTGTTTTGTTTTTTTGTAATGATCACGGGGAAAAAATTTAATTGAAACAATTGTGAGTGACAACTTGGTAAATTTGTTAGAGATAATATAAACTGTTGATTTCAGAAATATGCAATTTTTATCAAATCTTTACTGTTCATATCTAAATGTATATATATTTGTTGAAAGTTGTACTGTCCCACCATTTATTGTAAAAACGAAGTGTTTTGTGTACTTTAAGAGCGTGTACAATGTTTTGTACATCTAACATTTTACTATTTATATAATTGTACAATTAATGCGTCCATGCCCATTTTATAATTCCTCTCAACTCAAATCCAAATGAAGCTACCATTTTATTTTTCATCTCTCCCTTTTTTCCCCCCTTTTTATCTCTTATATATTGGTACAAATTTTTGTGCTATTTCTTGTTTTGCTGATTTTGTTTTGTATTTTTCTTGTTCCTTTGCTAGGTGCTTTTATTTTGTGTCAATATTGCCTATATATAAATAACGGTATATTTATTTTTTTTCGTTATTATTTATCTAGCTGTATATTTGAAAGTTTTATTTATTTTTATCAATTTGAAAACAAAATCTCATTATGATTGACCAAAACATTTTATGTGAGGCACATGATAATTTTGTGCATACGCTTTCTTTGAGATATGTTGGAAACAAATTTCGATTATTAGTTGTATTTATGCATTATACATTCAGTATTTGAAATTTTACCTGATTCATTGATTATAAGGAACAATCGCATATTTACCAAAAAGTCTATTTGCCAATTACCAATAATTGGATTCTGTTATCACACATTTTTAACACAAGTTGTTTCCCTTTGACAATTGTAGACTGGTTCCAAACTGGACAAACTGTGGTGCTCCCCATGCACAGCATGATAAGTTGAAAGTGATAGGTGTTTTAACCAATTTTTGTACAAAAATAACAATTGATATCATAGTTTTTACTTAAATAAAAGATTAAATGTAATTCAATGTTTTAAAAAGTTACAAATTACCGGGTACACAACATTATGCACAGATGTATTTGTTCTTTCCCCTTGCTCATAGACAATTAATATACCACCCTTCTTAGGGAAACAGTTTGTATGATTTGAATTCTAATTACAGGATCAATTACAGTGTTGGCAAATAGCCTATTAAGTAAAAGTGATTTTTATTTACATGAGAATATATGGTTGATTAGCCTTGACTTAATTCACAGATTCTAATTTTTTTATAACGTTAAATTTTTTTCTGTAAACACTCAGATATTTTGTAAACAAAATTCTGTTAATTTGAAATATTTTTCATGCTTTTATCTATTTGTTGTGTGTCCTTATTTTGAGGTGTAAATTTGTATCTTTTCTGCGTTTTGGTTTAACTTTGTTTCGTTGTTCTTTGTTGCTTTTTTTTGGGGAGGGGGGGGTGTATTCTTCTCATTTTATCAAATATCTGCAGTTTTTCTTTTTAAATGGGGAAGAGGGAAATTTAGATCTGTCAATTGATTTAATGGCTAAAATTTTATAATGGATGGACAAATTTAGCGTCTGCACTTGTTTTGTAAAGTGCAACAATTGTTTTTATGTCCCACGTTCTCTATGTTGTAGCCCAAGATTTTATGTTGTTAAATTACATTTTACAAAATAATACATGTTGCACAATATTTTCATGTGCTGTATACTCATTTATAATCTTGTATGATTGGATTGATATTCAATGAGAATAAACATTTTGTTACACAAATTTTCTCCATTTTTCTTCATCGAGAAAATGTTTGCACTTCAGTTAAGAAATCTTAAAAAGAACAGAAAAAATAATTATTAGGAAAAATATAACGATTAAATCAAATTTAGTTTATTAATGTAATTTTACAAAAAAACTTGGTTCATATTGAGAACACATGTGCTGTCGTACGGTTAAGAATTTCCTGCTTAGAATTTTGTCAATTCAGTTTTTCTTCACTTTAAAAAATATACATATATGTTAGAATAACACACTTAATCTAAGAATATTTGTAAACTGATTTACGTTTGTCACATTCAGGGCTTGGTGCAGCTCTTAGTACCTCTATGGGGGCTTCCCTCAACTCCCTGGCAGTGTCCCGCAGTGCTGCATTAAGAGGTGTTGGACGAAGCGTAGTGGGACTCCCTTTAGGCACAGCTGGTAAGCACCACTGGTGTCTCAACGCTCAGTCCACATTTTCTTCTTGATTTTTCTGTATCAGTCGCTTTCAGCTTATTTCCCCCCATCATCCTTTGCACAAGATGGAGTGTTTGTTACTTGGAAGATTTTGTCATTTTATATGTGAATATGTTATTTTTGACTTGAACTCTGACCTTTGTGCTGGCAAGATAACTGTATATTTTAGTAATTATTGTTTAGTTCTAATCAGTATATGCATAGTGATTAATCATTGTACATTGGATAATCAGAATTTTTTTAGAGGGTAGAGGTCAAACTTACCTAGCCAGCCAATGTGAGCTATTGACATCATTTTACCTCTCTGTTTTCTATATAATTTATTTTTTATTTTTAAAGATCTTAGATGATTTTTTATTTATATACATGACTTAAAATTACTATTGTGAAAGAAAGAAAAAAAATATCGGGATTTGAAATTTGTTTTCCTTTGAAATAGGTAAACAATGGTTTCAAATCTGGATAAAATTCTCTTTTGTGAAGTCCTAATGTACTTGGAATTCATTTATTTTCTTGTGACAATTTTCATGATTTGGTGAAAACTTTCATTTTTGTTTGAATTTTTTGTTTTTTTGTTTTGTTAAAGTCTGCATACAAGCCCATAGAAAGTTTGTAATTTGTTGAACATCAAAATTCTTGGCTCACCTGTACAACCAATGAAATCCATGGAAATTGGTATCCCACATATAATAATGAATTCACAGTATGTATCTGATGAAAAAAATTTAAATTCTGGATTTTTTCTAAGGGTATAATGGTTATCCAATGTTAATATCTAGATGTAAATACACTTACATTTATACATGTGTGGTTTGTATTGATATATCCTGTGTAGCTAAATATAGAATTGTGTAATATTGTGTGCTATGTTTGTGAAAATCTTTATCAAAATCTGTGTCACAGACACATGTTTCATTTCATAGTGTAGTTTTAGCATGAAATATCTCGACATTTCTTCAAATTGGAATAGATATGAGTTAAAAATGTATCTTATAATATATATCCTGATACAACACAATACGCTTATTCTATTGAGAACAAAACTACATGTTATTAAAAATCTTTAAGGGAGACAATCCTGCTATTTTAAGCTTCTTTGGTTTATTTAATAGTTTATTGATACATGAGGGTGTGAATGGGTGTTAACAGAATATAGAAAAATGTGCAAAAAATATAAAGAATAGAGAAAAATGGACCAAAAATATAAAGAATAGAGAATAATGAGGTGCTAAAATATTAAGAATAGAGAAAAATGGGCAAAAAGTATAAAGAATAGGGAAAAATGGTCTAAAAAATTAAAGAATACAGAAATAAAGGACCCCCCATCCAGACCCTCATACATTTGAAGATATTTCTTGCTAAATGTCAACTTGAAATGAAATTTAGCTTGAGCATTTGTCCACTAGATGTTGAGGTATCTCATTTCAACTTATTAATCCAAAATATATAGAAAACAATGTTTCGAACTAAACAGACACTTATTTTATTTAGTGAACAAACAGAAAAATATAGTATTTGTAGATAATGTTTCTGATCATTTTGATAAGCATACCTCATGAATATGCCTCCTTATAATTGATGTAGTATTTAATCTAAAATCAACAGATTTCAACCAGAACATAAAAGAGCATACTAGTTTTGTTCTGGCAGTGAACAAAATGGTTGAAATTAGTTGATGTTGTTAGATTTAATGTTTATGCATGTGACTTTACAGCTTTTTCTGATTGGACAATTTGTTGTTAATTGGTGATCATGTGACCTTATGTTTGTAATATATAACAAGATTATGAAACATTTTGGCTCCGCTGATTTTGCATGTAAACAGTAGTAATCCAAGCACACAAAGATCTGTAAGACTGCTTAGTTAGAAAAAAAATGTATGATTTTTTTTCTTTTTCTTTTTTTTTTTTTTAGAAGTTAGTTTTGCTTTTGGTAGTGTATTGCATGTGACTGACATAAAATTTAGTTTCTAATATACAAAATAGACAATAGGTAACCATTTTTTTTTTGGGGTATACTTATTTTTAATATAAATATTTTAGAAACTAACATTATAATTTTTAGCAAAATAGAAATTTTTGGATTTTCACTTTTCCAAAAGAAATAAGTTTATTTTTGTAAAGGTTAAAAATTTATTTAGATGTTTTAAAAACGGAATGCTTCTTTGCATATTAGTGATAATGATAAACTTGGCTTAGATATATGAATAGTTAGATAGCTTGAATTTGATTTAACTATATTTAGTCAACCTAATGTTGTGTGCTTGTTATATTAATGTTCATGCAAAACCAGGGAAGCCAAGCCTATATTTGTTACAAATCCCCCACCAAATTGTAATGATTTGTCCTATGAAATTCTTATCATTGCATATTTGGAGGGCTAATGAAACATGTTATATTTTGTGTATGTTTCTGAAATCACGTTAATGAATTTCTATGATTGCCAGACAAAATAAATATGTATTTGAAAAATTTGATTTAAGTCATAATGAATTTTCTCACTTTTAAAAAACATTTGAAATTCAAAACAGCAAAACTAAATGGTATTTTTTTTTATCTTGATTGAAATTAGTTTTTAAAACACTAAAATTTTAAATCGATATATGGATTCACTATGACTTATGTTTTATTTCAAGGAAATTTGAATTTTTTTCAAATTTGATGAAATTTTGTCTTGCAAGTTTCAACATAACATGTCTAAGAGAATGTCTATTCTCTTATTCAGGCTTCCCTGGTTATACAAGCTATCTTGCTGCCCCATCCCCTGCCGGTGACCGACATGCTTCACCGACTGCCATATACGCTACTGATCTTGGTGCTGCACAGACTAGTCAGCTGACCGGATTACAGATTCAGCGGAGCGAGCCGTCTCCCCAACCTAACATGTCCTCTCCACTACAACGTGTTAGTGAACAGTTGATTAATGCACAGCGTGCACAACAAGGACTGTCAGGTAAGAGAGGATAAACAAATTATTCTGGCACATGAAAAATGTTGCCGTCTGCCAGATTGGTTTTTTTTTCGTTTATTGTTTTGTCCTAAATCAGGCTATTGGGTTTTGAGTTTGAATTGTTTCACATTTTGTTATATCTTGGTCTTTTGTAGCTGACTATATGGCTTGGGTTTGCTCATTGTGGAAGGCTGTATGTACTGTGACCTATAGTTGCTTAAGTCCATGTCATTAAAAAGTTCCAGTAAATTCTGTGGACTAGTTTTCATTTGAAAAAATGTTGAGAAGATTCTTTCAGGAAGAATTTATGGTTTTGATCAGATATTTTATGGTTTCGTCCAACATTCAGATAGTACGGGTACACAGTCTTCATAATTCACTGAAGAGATATTTCATTTGAAATTTGTTAGTAGTCATGCAATAATTATACAAGGATTTTAGAATTGTTGAAAATGTATGATATAGTGAACAAATCAAGCTCTGTTAACATGCATAAAAAACCAAATCATAAATATTTTCACACACCGTCTAAAATTGCAAAAATGAAATTATTTATGCGAATTACAGTAGTTGTCCTCAAAATAAGAGTGCATTCACAGTTATAATCATTGATTTGCAATAAATTAACAAACAGGTGATTAATTGTTATTTGTGGATAACTAATATAAATGGATTTTGTGGATAAAGATGTGATCTGTGAGGTTCAGAGTTCAAGATACCATAAAATTCCTAAAGGCTTGAAAACAGAGTTTGTCAAAACAAAGAAATCAAGTATGGTACTAAGGAAAAATAAGAAAAAATCCTCAATCCAACTACATTAGAACAGCTAGCTATCTTGGCTATATCATAGTGGCTAGATCTTATTGTAGGAGAAACCTGTAGTATCCAGAGAGATCCACCATCCTTCTGCAGAAAAACTGGCAGTCCTTATCAATTAAGATCGGGGTCTAACTTGAGTGGGGTCAGAGCTCACAACCTCCGAGTTGACAGACAAGTGAATCTACAGTATCCAAGTTGTACCAATTTGTATGACATAGGTAAACATACAATCTCATCATTTTTTTCACATGTTCGATCCATTGTAAACAAGTTAAGTATTGCATCTTTTAATGTTATTTACTTTTTTTCAGCCATGCTGAATGGTTTTGGGCAATCTGCCTTCCCTGCAACTACCTCACCAAGCCGTGGTTTACCCTTGGCTAACAGCCCTGGTCCACTAGACATTTACAACAGTCAGGACAGTCTGTATCTTCAAGCCACCAGTCCTCAGCCAACTCTCAGTCTAGGCCATGGTTTAGCTGGCCACAGTTTAGCTGTAAGTATTATTAGATCTCAGACTTGTGCCCTCAGTATATAGATGAGTTAGTAGTTTACATATGAAACTATCATAACTTTCATATAAACCAGCATAATTTGTGACCAGTATCATGGGAAAGTTATTGAAAAGAATGTTTTTTCTTGCTTTTAATTTTGAGGTAAGGACAGGATCAGACAGAGATAATAGATTTAGTAGAGATGAGTAGTAATATAATAGCGGCACAATATTCTGTAATGTGGCTTTATGTGTGATGTGTATGCAATTTAGATTTTTTGTTTTCATTTTTTAAGTCTGTATTTTGCGGTTGATGTCATGCAAATAGGCTCAAACTTCAACATTATTTCTAATCAAACTAAATCACACTTTTACTCATATTAATCTGTGGGATTAATCATTTGCATTGGACAAATAAACCAGACCAGATAATCTCTTGCTATAGTTGTATATTATTTTTATGCCCCGCTGTCACCAGAGGGGGCATTAAGTGTTACCCTTCTCCGTCTGTACGTCCGTCAGTACATTTGTCCCAAAATAGGTTTCTGTTCTCTAAATATAGTTTGCCTCAACCAAATGTTATGAAACATATACACAATGCTTATAACCACAAAACTCAGATCAAATTCGAATTTGGATGGTGTCACTTTTACTGTTCTCGAATTATGCCTATTTATAATGTTATATGCAAGTGGGGGCATCATCTGTGTCCCATGGACACATTCTCCATTTATGTGGACAGCAATGCCCAAAAAGTAGATTTAAATTTTTGTCTTAAGCTTATAACATTGATGATCTTAAGCTTATGACATTGATAATCTGAAGCTTATGATATTGATAATCTGAAGCTTACGACATTGACAAATCAGTTATGCTTATTCTTTTTAATGCTTCTTTTGCAGGGACAGTTGATAGCTACAAGTTTCCAGAATGGATATTAGTTAACAATGGTAGAGCAAAATGGTATGTAAAACACTAGTTCCCTCTTTAATTTGTTTGGCAATTCCTGTTATGCTTCTAAAGCATTATGTGTATGTACTTGTCGTTTGTACTGAGGCCATTTGCAGAAGTATATATTTATTTAACTGTCAATAAGTCTAAATTGAAAACAACGTTCAAACCTATGAATGCGTTGGATAAAAACCGCAATTTTATATGTGTGCATGCAAAACAAATGTCTTTATTTAACTGTTGATATGCTTTCATGAAATATTGAGAGATGAATTCTGAACAGAGGAAAAATGTATACACGTATAAACTGCTACCAGAAAAGCAGATATAAAAAAACCAATATTCTTTTGGAAAAAAGTTTGTAATTTACAAATAAGTTAGAAATTACAATTCCTCATTTTTTCGAAACTACAAGAACTGCAGTTTTTGATAGTTAACAAAATGACATAATGAAATATCCATTGAAATTAAAGACTAAGTGATTTTGACCGTACTTCATAATTTAAGAAATATGTATTTGATTAATCTTCTTTTCTTTTCAGATCTTCAGGAGGTGTAATAACACAAAAGATCATAATGGCTGAAGGAAAAATTGTCTCGAAGAAATGGATTGTTCTTAAACTGCATTTAAAGGTCCTTCTTCAGACTATATTGTTTACAACTTTTATTGCTTATTATTATTATTATTACTATTATGGATATTTATATATCAATTCTTATGGGTTATTTGTTGCGAAATATTTTTAAATGTTTGTTGAATTACGCAATTTTACCAAAAAACAAACTGTTGTATTTTGTATGTTCTATGCAGTCAAAATTTTACATGTAGAAAACCAAATTTCAACCCTCATCCCAAAGTTGTAGATTGGCTGTGGAAATACCTATATCATGTTTATTCTATCACATTTTGAAAATATTTCCTGAATCAAAGATTAATACGCAAAGATTTTTTTTTTGCATTTGTTTAATTTTTATCACAAGAACCATTAAAAAGATAGTAATGTTTCTGTCAAATCCGCTGATGAAGTCCTGGAATTTTTGTTTGATCTAGGTATTTTCACAGTATTAGAAAGAATTTATAGGTTTGTAGTATTTATTTAAATGTAGAAATTTTTATGTCTTAGGAAAAACATGAAATGTTTGCTACAATTTTACATGCAGTGACTAATAATTTATGATATGTAATTAAAACTATTAATAATATAGGCATTAATGTAATTTCAAAACCTGTGATATGATAAATTTTGAATTTATAAATTCTGAGTGCATAGATACTAAAGAAAAAAGATCTGGGGATGTATGGTTAGTGATAAATGATTGTACTTAATTCAAAACGTATATCTATTGTTTGATGGATGGGAGTCTTCAGTGAAGAAAAATCCACAAAAATGAAGAATAATCTAGTTGCCATGACAATATTTTTGCATTTTATTTTTAGAGATATGCTTTTTGAAATGACAAATTAGAATTTAAAATTGTTAATTCTCAGGACCCTTTTATGAAATCAGTTGATACCAAAGAAAAAGGGATCCTTAAAAACTTGGATCAAAATTTAAATTGTTCTTGGTCTACCCATCCATTTTTCTCATTGTCATGGTAACTAGACTGATAATGGCTAGTTCAACATGTTGTATATAAAGGTTGTATATTATTTTTTCATGTTATATTTTTCTTTTTATTTGATTATTTACATTTTAATTGAAAATGACGTTATAATTGTTTATTTTTTTGCATTCATTCACTTTACATTTAAATACTGGGCAATTTATTTCATTAATTAATTTTTTAAATTGATATTTAATTAATAAAAATAAATACTTTTCCATTTGATTTATTAGGCTTGCACAGAAATTTCATTTTATTATTTGTAATTTTTAATTAAGGTTAATTTTAGGTTTAAAGAGATTTCTATTCCGTGAAATTTTAATGATATTTTTGTTTTAAGTTTAAACCAACAGATATTTTAAACATTTTTATCTCGGAAATGAATGTCCAGTATATATATATTTCATTCAATATTAGAAACCATTATCATGTTTTATCTTTCATTTATTTTTAAGTTAAATATAGTTTTATCAACTATTGGTAGTATTTATTCGTAGAACTTTTTTTTTTATTCCCTTTCTTTTCATAATACATTTATTGTTTTTATCGAAATGTGATAAAGTAACAATTTTTAAATGGGGTGTAAAAATGGTTTGTTTACGATATTTGCATGGTTTCGTAAATGTAAAATTATATGTGTGAATGGTAGGGATATATGTTTTTATAGATTTAGATTCCCTATATACCTTTTATATATTTTCTAAAAGTTTAATTTTGTTAAAATCTTTTATTACCAAATTTTTTATTCTGCTTCAATCAAACTTTAAACTACTTAATTTTTTTTAAATTCTATCTCTGTTTTGAAAGGTTGAGGGTATTGTTAAATTTTATAATGGCAATAATTTATTCCTGGAATAGTGTTCATTGGAAAATATTTCTTCTAACATTGTGTTCAGATTGCACTTTTTTCTCGATTACCTTTTTAAATTAAAAATTAAAAAAAAAACAATGCTGACCAAAAATTCATTATTAGTAAAAGAGAAAATATTTTTTACCAACCCTAAAAATTTCAGGAGTAAGGTCTACCAAATATAAATTTCTTGATAATTCCCACAAGTCTTGAGTAAATATTTGACATTTTGTAAAACATTTGAAATATACAAAAATACGGGGTCAAAATCAGTAGACCATATCCATTTGGCAAATTGAGAATTTTTGAATGGCAAGGATTTGTATTATTTGTTATTTTTGACATTGTACACTTCATGTTCCAACTTTTTGCTAATAGGATTTACTGGTATGCTACGCATAAGATATTTGAAAGAACTAAGCTGGGTCTTGGTCAACAAAAGTTACAATGAACAAATGAATGAAACTTCAGGTATTTTTTTATTGTTTGCATGTTGGTTTAGAAAAGAGGCAATACTTTACTGTTATAGAAATAAGTTCCATTTCTTTTTGAATGTCGTATGATCAGGAGAAATTTGAAAATAGAAGTTCAAATTGTTTTTCTTACTTTATGGACGCGAAAAGTAAATTGAATTGATTTTTTTTTAAAAAGAGCATGTATTGAATAAAGTCTTTTTGAATAGAAAAAAATGTTTAGTTCAAAATTTTAGAAGTAAGCTCTTTATAAAAAGTCTAAGTTAATGTTATGCATTTATCTTTGAAATGTTTTTCTACAATTTAATTCACTTGGTTGTTTTTTATTCGTTAATTTTATAAAATATACAAATAACCATCTAGAAATGGTCTTGCATGTTTTCTTAAACAATATTTCATTTGTTATTTGTAATATTTTTTTCACTGTTATGGTGTAAATATTACAATTACGCAGAAAAAAATAGTGCTGTTATTTTGGAAAACAAATCTTTTTTTTACACATTTTATTGAAAAAAGGTGCTAAGCCAATTACAAATTTTCTATCAGTTTGACATTGAGGAAAATCGGTTTAATGTTTGAAGTTAAAAGCTGACAATTACTTTTTCAAATGAATGAATCTGTTTCACCATGTGAACAGTTTTCTTGTAAATACATGTAAAATTAAGGTTGTTTTCCTATATTTAGAAAAATATGTTATTGTTTATTATACATTTTTACAAATTTTATGGACAGTGTTAATCTATTTGTTACGAAAATTTGGTCAGTTAGTTTCAATAGATCAGTGTGCACAAGTTCTACGCATATCAAAAGCTTTTGCTTTTTATATAAGATTAGCAGTCCTGATGTTGATTTTTTGCTTGATTGCTTTTGATTATTACTATATTTTTTTAATTACTATCTGCTTAATTTTAATTACTAGCAATAATTCATTTTAAGAATTTAAGAAGTTTGTAATTGGATATTTTGTAAAATTTTTAACATGTCTGCAGTTTAATTCCTTCTTTTGCATCTTTAGTTTTACAGAAAATAATTTTGCAATTTAAGAAAACCACGCATTTGGAAACAACTTTAATGGATTGTGTAAATTTTGTTTTTTGTCGACGTCTGTAAATATTAGCTTTATCCATGAATGTGATTTTTTTCTGTGTCAGCGTTTGCATGAAAAGGCACATAAATAAATAAGTAAACAGCCCCTAGTGCTATAATAATAGTAATAGTGTACAAATATAAAGAATCATCAGGGTCCAAAGTACAAAAATATGTCTCAGTCACAGAAGAAAGGGGTCTTCTCAAAAATGTTAATGTTTGCTATATAGTCAGATTTTTTTTTTTGTTATTTGAATAATATTCATCATAAGATCTGCATCTCCATAATGTTTGGAGTGACTTTTTGGGCTTTCTTCAGTAGTTAGTTTCACAAACAAAAACATTTTTGAGATTTCCCCCTGCATTACTATCTGTGATAACTAGGTTCTTAACCTGGTTTAGTTAGTAAATATGTAGTAGTTAGTAGGGTGTGTATCGTGACATGTGTAAAATACCTTTGTTAAGTTAAAAAGATATCAATATTTCACCCAGAAATTGTTTTCGTTTATATTTATATTCCTCGTGTATTTGTCTTTGTACATAAAAAGTTTTGATCAATGTAGATTTTGATAAGTCATTCATGCTTTCTGGCAGGTGATATCAACGCTAAACATTTGACAAAAATGATGGGAACATCTCAGAATATAAAATGGTGCTGATATTTTGTCAATATATAATTTGAGGATTGTATTTATATAAATAGATTTTCAATAGGATATTTATACTATTTAGTATTTTACTAAAATGCCAGTCACTGTTAGTTTGCTCTTTGGTCAAGCGTAAAAATAGTATAGATTGCATGACAAAATTTGCATGATAAAAAATTGGTTCTAGTCACAGGTTATTTCTCGTAAAAAATAGACTAAAATAGGTAGCTTAATTACCATAAAATAATGTAATAATGTGTAAGCATTTTTAACACAAATGAATTTTGAGATGTTCCCCATTATTTTTTCAAGAAAGTGTGATTGAGAAAAATATTTAAGGGACATTCCTATTTCTGGAAATTGAGAAAATGAGAATAAGGACTTTGCTTAGAAAATGGGAGTTAAATGATAACCAGCAATATTTTTTTTTATCAAGCAAGGCAGATTTTTGAATTATGAACTCAGGGAACACATTTTTTTGTATGAATACAGCTCTTTCAATTTTTTTGATTGAGTTTAATGTATTCGGTGAATAGAGTAGGCTTAGTGTAGGAAAAAGTTGGTGAAAATAGTGAAAAAAAGTGTACAAAAGTAACTTTCAAGCAACTAAAGATGATTTCCAAAAAAGAATAATTATCAAAACTGTATTAAACTGAACGAATAATTTTTTTCTAGACTTAAAGTGTCTGTGAGATTTTGTGCAAGCATTTTGAACATAAATGAATTTTGAGATATTCCCCTTTGTTAACAGGTTTGTTAACACATGGTAAGAATGAAATATTTTTGATTACAAAAAAATGGCAATCAATTTTGTTACTACAAATCTTAATCTTTGTCTTTCATTTTAAATTTCAGTTAATTAGAAAATGATAAAACCTATGGTCAATGTATTTTCATTTTTCAATTCATGCATTTTTCAGTATTTTCACCAATAGGTTTTAATGTTAGCTACATCAGTTTAAAAGATCTATATCTAATATTAATGAATCTCTATGGATGTGTGTCCTGTAGCAATTTCCAATAAGGGTCTTTTTACATGAAGCTGTTTCAGGAAGGCTTTTCATGATACTGTTATCAAGTCATAAATATTTTCAGGCTTTTTCAAAAAAAGTCATCAAAAAGTTGAGGAATCCTTAAGAATTACGGTTAAAAATTGAAATGCAGACTAGGCATTTTTCGATGTCTACATCGCGACCAAATCATGAATCAAGTTGTGATTGTTTCTGCAACACAGATAATAAAAATGTTCAAAATTAACTAGGCTTTACTGAAATACTTCATGAAATAATGCCCAGCTTATTTAATCAGTAGAAAAACATATAACCTTTTTAGAACGTTTGTTTCCTAACCCTGTATATGTAATATTATAATAACTGGTCCGTTTTTTCATATCCAGTTTTTTTGTGAATTTTTTATACAAGTATTATGTATATTTGTTTTTGTATAAACTAAATATTTGTCTCATCATGTCGTCTGCAATAAATGCTGGATTATTGTTTACTCCCATTTTCAAAATGATTGACACTTGTAAATAATTTTTGAATTTGATTGAAATATTTTTTTGGGGGGGACTTCTGATCATTCAAATAATTATTATGCAAAATAGGTAAGGGTTTCTGAAACATTTCTTCATAATAAAGAAAATGTGTAGATGTAAAAGTTATTTAAACAGTTTTGGGCGTAAGTTAATGTAAAAGGATTTAAGGTAAAAGCATCGTCCAAGTTCAACTTTTGTCTGTTCTCCAGTAAATTCTAGTTTAGGCTTTTAATTAGAGTAGCTATTTATTTGAAGATGCAGCATATATTATTATAAGGGTATTTATTTATTTGATACCATGGCAACTTAAAACTTGTGCCAAAGATGTTACTGTATCCCTGTGTGATGACATATCTGTGGTAACCAGAGAAGTGGCAATAATTGTATGTGTGCCATGTTTAAAACTATACCAAAAACAACTTTAACCTTGACAAAGCCAATAAATTACTTAATTATTAAGATACTTAAAACCATCTTTTCTCATCATTATGTCTGTAAAGTGTATTTGTGAAAAAAAAGTTCATTCAAAAATTAAAGTATATTCAAATTGATTTGTCTTGTTGTTTGTTGATTTGTAAACCTCATTATAATGTTGATGTATAAAATGTATTAAAAAAACACAGATAAAAGGAGACGTGTGGTATACACCAATGAGAAAAATCCCAAAACACACTAAAACCAGAAAATATTGATTCTGCCATCCACCAAATTCGAAGGACAAAAAACACTGATATAAAAAAATAATAGGCATGGTTCTTAAATTGTTGTGGGCACGCTCACTTGTCCTGGAGGTGGTGTTAAACTGGTTTTGTAAGTACAAAACCATGCTTCTTCTCATCTCAATAGAGGAATATCAGAAGGTCCATAGAAAAATACACAATAAAAATCACTTCAGAAAATGCATTTATCTTTAATATCTGCATTATAGATGACTAAATCATGGGTACAAGTAACATATATTCCATGATACAGTGTCAAAGGATGCTGTCAGTTACTGAACACAGCCTTAAAATTCTTTATCTGCTAATGTATAAGACATGCATTTGTATGCTTACATTTTGGCAGCTTCACTTTGGAGTAGGTTTTACCTGGCAAGAAACTAACTAATTTTATGTCCAAGATTCCACATACTGAATCATGAACATTATAAAAAAAAACTACAGCATTTTTTTCAAAGCCTTAAGTAAAATTGTGTATACAATTCAAAACATCAAAAGTACATAAATATGGTCATCCTTGGAATTCTCTCACTTAGCAGTAAAACCCATGCTAAAGAGTGGGTCCATTTGGCTGTGCAGGATGTATAAATATGCAGCCACCCCCTGTCAGATTCAGGGTAGACTTAAAATCTGACACCGCATATCGGGAACATGCTCTTTGCACGTTAAAAAACCTTTGCACCAACAATTTGAGAAGTCAGTAGGTAGCCTGTTGCCTGGCAAAACGCCCTCATATTACAGTGGCTGTCAAAATTTCAGTCCCGTCATCCCTGTCGACCCACTTTGTCAAACCTACGTACATTTTTGTTTACTTGGTTTCCTGAATATGCATGAATATTTGCCACTGGACTTTGAGAAAAAAAAAAACAACCAATTAACACAGAAAAGCAGATCAATCAAATATTTTGATCCAAAGTGTAATTATTTACAGATATTAATAAAAAAAAAGCTGCAAAAAAACTGATTACACAACAGCAATGTTATTAAAACTTTTATCAATAGTCTTATACTGGTTTCTTGGTAATTTTATAAGACCATATAAAGCAGAATGTGAAATACCTCTGTTTGGTGAAATAATACTTTCACTATCAATCCCTATATAAGGGATCAATTTATATCAAAACTGTGTCACTCTTACTAGGTAAAAAAATTTGCGTCGATTGAAAACTGAGGCTTCACAGCAAATTGGTGCTAATCAAACACACGGAGCCTTGTACATTTAAATGGAAAGTCAATATCAAGAGGAAACATGTCTTGTTTGACACAACGATTGATGAAATTAGAGTTTTGACCCCAATTTCACGGTCCACTGAACATAGAAAATGATAGTTCGAGTGGGGTGTCCGTGTACTATGGACATTCTTGTTTTATGATTAGGACCATATATGTTCTTAATTTAAACTAATATACATTTTCAAAAAAAAAACAAAGGAAAAAATCCTACCATGGAAATTAATTAATTTGACATATATAGCGTTGGCGTATTATAAAACAAATCCGTATCCAGTCCATACTATTTTACCATTGGAAACAATCGGGAGGTACTAGGACATAGTCTTTGAAGCGTTCAATACGTATATTTGTATTGCTATTGATAAGGAACAATAAGGGATAAAACCATGGTAATGTCTGTCTGCCGTTTGATTGCATCCTTTTTTTTAAGTTCAAAAGGCCACATAAAGTACGAAGTTCAAGAGCCTTGAGGAGTGGACCTAAAATTCCGAAAGGTTTTTACAAATACAGATAAGGTAATCTATTCCAGGGGTATAACATCCTAGGTATTTCGAAGACTTCAAATTTTTGTTAACAGTTTTTATTCCCCACCTATACGATAGTAGATGGAGCATTACGTTTTTCGGTCTGTGCGTCCGTTCGTTCGTTCGTTCGTTCGTCCGTTCGTTCGTTCGTTCGTTCGTCTGTCCCGCTTCAGGTTAAAGTTTTTGGTCAAGGTAGTTTTTGATATAGTTGAAGTCCAATCAACTTGAAACTTAGTACACATCTTTCCTGTTCTAATTTTAATGCCATATTAGAGTTTTGATCCCAATTTCACAGTCTACTGAACATAGACAATGATAGTGCGAGTGGGGCATCCGTGTACTATGGACACATTCTTGTTTTATGATTAGGACCTTATATAGACAATAGACAATAGACTATATTTATTTGCACAAACACATTTTCATTAAATGGTTATGGCATACAGTAGTGAGACAATAAACTGACAATAATTAAATTAGAGTGACAGTGGTATTCACAATAAATATGTGTATATCGACAGTAAACGCATTATTAATATTCATGAACAAAAAAAAGATACATATTAAAAAAATATAAATTATACAGATGTTCTCAATAAAAGACAATCATTAATATACTTTGTGTTGATTTTTATAATGACTGGCAAACTGCTATTTAAAAGTGTGATCATATGCCTCAGTGTTATAAAATTGAAATTAAGATTAGTATTAACATTTTGTATATAGGTATCCCTCAATGATATATAGCATGGACAGACTGAGAAGAAATTGTATTCATCCTCAATTTCTTGCATATTACAGGATAAGAAAGTGCCTTATATATGAATGATAATTCATGAAATTACAGAAGTGTTGAATACGACATCTTATTGTTTTCTGTATAATCATATGGGCCGATAAGTAGGCTCAATGCAATATTTATCGTACATTTTTGGATTTCTTTTTGGTTCAGTTTATTTAGCCCCGTTCATCGTCCGTTTTATCTGTCGACGTCCGTTCTGTTCGGTGGAAAATTTTGATGAAGTGTCCGTTGAACGTCCGGTAGTCGTCCGTTTTTACGGTACTCGTCCGTTCCGTTTCCGTTTTGTATCCGTTACTTGTCCGTTATACATTCGTTGGAGGTCCGGTAGACAAATTCACCAACGGACTTCTACCGGACGTGTAACGGATAAAACGGATGAAGAACGCTGGGATGTGAAACGGTCATAACGGAAGGATAACGGATAAAACGGATACGTACCGAATGTAAAACGGATAAATGCCAATTGAAAATTTCGCGTCAGAAATGCCAACTTCTCGTGGGTTTTTAGTGGCATCAGATTCTGTATTTGGTTCGACTTCTAAATCATGGTCAGGCGGAGTTATTGGCATTTTTCTCTGACATTTGTTTCCTCTTCCTTTTCCACCCTTACCCGTTGGCGACAGAACGGATGTCGGACGTACATCCAACGGACGAGTACCGCATAAAACGGGCACCTAAAGTAAGCGCACCGGAAAAAACGGATGAACAAGATAAACTGCAGATATTTTCACTTGTAGTTCGTATAGAAATAAGGAGATGTGTTATAATTGCCAATGAGAAAACTATCCACCAAAGTTCAGTTATATAGATACAATGGATAAGCGTGGATTCTTGAAAAAGAAACCATGAGCCCGGAGGGCGAATGGTTTGTTTTTCATGAATCTACGCTTATCCATTGTATCTATAACTTAAACTATTGTGTTAATTTCTTTTCAAAATTAAAGCCTTTTCTTGATTAGAAGGTATTGTAAGTGAGTTTAAATAACCATGTCATCGTGTCGAACGATGCATTGATAAATCTCAGATCACAATTAATTGGTTAACAAAACACAAATATAACACTTCTACCTTTAAAGATCTTCATATTACCAGGCATATGAATATTATCTGTTTATAAAAAATAAGACATATTCGAAATTATTTCTAATAAAATTGAAAATGGAAATGGGGAACGTGTCAAAGAGACCAGAACCCGACCAAAAAGCATATATAAAGTATATATAATAAGTATGTTATCAAACTTTTTCTAGCACTCTATATATAGGCACATCACGATTTTCACGCATAGGAATTTGCGAACAAACCTTTGTAAAATTATGTAGTAAAACAGATGAAATCATACTATATTTATAAAACAAAAATTGACAAATAGAATGTAATCGTTTTTGTTTCAAACATGTGAAATAGCCAATAATGATAAAAAAAACGGTAAAAACTCGCTATTATTACAAAAATATCCACTATAACATGCAAAATTAGAAAAAAAACCAGGATAACTTAAGAAGTGGAACAACAGAGAGAATACAGGGATTCGAACCTAAACCGACAAACCCCTATCTTTGACTCATTGATTTTAACCATGCTAACCTCGCGGCTACCAACTCATACTATACGACTGCCTATTATGTCTATATAAAGGTACAAGCCCTGTGTGTCCGATGAACCGATGTATATCAGATGTTCATTCAAATATATAAAACAGACATCTATAGTGTAACCCATTGGTAGCCGAGAGGTTTAGTTGATGTGTTGATGTCAGTCACACATAACAGATTTCAAGGAAGGGTTCGATTCCCAGTGAAGGCATATAAAAATTACAAAAATTAAAGGTAAGTTTTTAAATTAATTCCATTAGTGAACAGAAATCAGTAAATTAGCCAATTCAAACTTAATGAAATTAGGCACACAAAGAAAACAATTGAATATAATTTGGTGAGTCAATTTCAGCGGCAGATTTAGGAAGCGTTGATTCTAGAAAAAGAATCCACGGTAAATGAATAGGCTGACGTCACCACAATGGTTTAAAATGAAGTAGATGTCAGCAATTATAGGCAACTGTACAGCCTTTAACAATGAGAAAAACCCATACCATATAGTCGGCTATAAAAGTCCCCGACATGAAAAATATGATACAATTCAATTGAGAAAACTAACGGCCTAATTTATAAAAAAAAAATTTACGAAATACAAATATTACAGACATGAACCAACTACAGGCTCCTGAATTCACTGGTCACATTTCACCTTTATACTTTGAAATTGTATATATATGT